CAAGACATTACTACCCTCATACTAACCTTCACCCACCCACCCTCTGGTACAGTGTGACTGCTTATCAGTTTTGAAATGTCTTGACAACAAGTGAATGAATTTGCCAAAGAGAGACTTCGCTGGAGTACTTTTTTATTTTCATTAATTTTTTTATCTAGCAGAAAGTTTATGTTTAATGCACACCCAAGAAGTTCCTTTAGGTGGGACACAGGAATTCCAGTCTCTATCAATTCATTACCTCTGTAATCAATCAACTGCTGTCATCATTATTTTACGAATTTTTTGATTGTCATTCCCATTTTCCTTTCATTTTGTCTATCTTTTCCCACTGATAAATTTTTGGTCCTTGTCACTTGTCTTAACTTGACCCCTTCTGAAATTCATTTGAACCTCACTCAATCCAGCCAGTTATACTACTTACTACTTTACTTCGGCTATCTCCTACGGGAGGATGAGCCGGCTTCATGAACGTCTCGAATCATCGCTGCCCAGGCGCGGCAATTTGTAAGAGAGTTCATGAAGTTTCATGGGAATTTGGTACGAGTGATGTCCCCAGCATCGCTCGGCCTTTTGTTTGAGAGTGCAGCTCTAGCCTTTACACAGCCAAGTGTGACCTACAAGGCAGTAGGAGTGGAGTAAGGAGTCCACTATCCATTGGCAGCCGGTGACCGGAGTTCGGTTCATACGCCTTTTTGAATGGGGCCAGACATCCAGGACATCCAACAAGCCCTTTGTCCATACGTCTCCCGGTGAGCTCCGGTGAGCTTCATACGCCAGTCGTCTGAGGTTTGGAATCAGGGTTTAGCCATCTCCCCTAGACCGTCATCCAATGGACAGTCAACCCGGTGGAGAGCGCCGGGCATCCGCTTTCGCCCTCTTACTTTGGTGAGAAACACCTCCGCCACGTGAAGGCAGTGAGTAGGACTTCCTCAGGAGAGGCTATGTAAGACGCCCGGTCATATGGGAGCATTTCAAGAGGTGTGCGGAGGGGTGGCCAACCCGCAGCGCAAGACACCCACCCCTGACCATCCTGAGGCTTTGGAGGCCACTCAATCCAGCCAGTTATGTTCCATCACCCAGTTCTAGTTTCCACCCGATAAATGCTCGGTAATACGTAACTGGTATCTAAAAATTCTGAAGACAGATCTACTATGACAGTTGTGTACGTACATTTCAGACGATCTGTCAGCAACTAGCTACTGACTTGGGTTCACCTCGTTCTATAGGTTCCATATGTTTCTGTTTTGTACTCACTGTTAACTAACTCGAGTACCGTGTTCCATGAAAACGGTCCTCAGATCTCCTGTATGACAGCTTAACTGAAAATAGCCATCCAGAATAGTTCTTCATGAAATACCTGATCAAAAAAATCGAAAACAACCATTTAAAAGGAAACTTTAGGCCTCCACATGCACGATTGCAGTTTTTCAACGTGACGAACTAAGTGAAATTATAACCAACAGGCCAAGTAAATCAAATCCAAGTACACTGCTGGAAATATTTTCACCTAACCGGCTGTGATCCCTCAAATGAAAGACGAAGTACTTGGCTAGCTATCTATCAATCCAGCTGCTTCTGAGGAGCCAGTTGTACTGACTGCGGTCTTAGGAACTTAAATTGCCATACTCAGAAAAATCTATCAGTACGACTAAATAAAGGTATATTGAAAGCCACCAACAGATCTATGCCAGACCAAATAAAGCCGTAAATATACTGACAATTACTTCGAAAGGTTTTGTTGCCCTAGGTAATAATTCATATAATGCAGAAATTATTAACTCATATCAGAAACGGAGTCCTTGCATATCTAAACAATATTTTCGAGCAAAGTATCACAGAAAATTTTGTCATATAATGCTGTTAGACAAAAGAAAAACGAATATCGGACACAGAAGTTAAGTCGCATATCATGTGATTTAACGATCGTAGAAATGTGCTGGGAAATCGTACGCTGATGTTCGACAGAATATTTAATCTGCAGGTATTATGAGTCATATGTACCCTTGGACAAATGATTTTCAGTATGAACACTACACAAGGAGCAACAGACGATTGCTGTAAAATCAATTACTCTCGCTAGTAAACGGTATAAACTGGAACATAGTTCTACTTCGCTCCCTCTTATAACACATGCCATGATCTGAAATATTACCAATAATCTGAACGACACCAAGAGTGAGGCATGATAGTTGAGACACTTTAGTCCTCCGATCATGTATTTTGACAAGTCTTCTGTGCTTCGTTGAAAGCTTATGGCTGGGACATTTACTTCACTGCGGATCTGTCAGAATTACTGACCACATGCATATGTTAATCTTTATTAATACATTGCTCCTTTTTGTTTATGTCAATTCAACTACCGTGTGTCACTTTGTCGAGTACAGTACCTAAGGCACAATAACAGCAGCATCAATTTCAACTTGTCTGCTACTTGGTATGGCTACCAGAACTTCTGCGCTAAAACTTAAGCGACGCGCACATACATGTGACGTCAGAGCCGGAAGATTTCCTCGAACTATCTGCATTATTATTGAATACGATCGTTTAAAGCATACAGATATTGACTCTTATGACTAAAAGCGATAGTTAGCGAGGTTAGATACATCACTTTAAGCATAGGTCATTGGACAACTGGGTGGGGATAATTTACTCTGCTTAGTAATGTGGATGTTATGTCAAAACCATTAACCCAATCTATATATATATTTATAGCCCTACTCCGGCCTTCAACCCATTCACTCTCTGCTTTGAGTATTCAGTTATAAAACGCAGCTGTTACTCTCTCATTTTACACCTCTAACTTCACTTAAGAATATCTTCAACGACGCCTTAACTATTGCCCTAACACATACATGATCTATTGTGATTCTGGCTGCTGATAAAACCTTGTTACCTATTGATATTTCCATATTTATAATTTCTCGGGAGCCATATATTACATGGACTACTTAATTAAGTTAATGAAAAATTGCTTCGCCAAAAGTATTTGGAATTATTCTTTTAACACGAATGTACAGCTAGACAATAGTGACCGACATGGATAAAACACTATATTAAGCAGAGTCCATGCCGGATAATTAATTCGAGGCAACACAGCTATCAGATAGCGTGAGAACATTCCTGATGTTATTTATGCAAATTCAACGATTGCGACATAAGTACATAACCATATTATCAATAAGCCTGCAGTGTGTCAAATGATGGAATAACTGTAAAATCTGGAGAATTTACTAGATAATCAGCTTAACTACAGTCTACATTCTTGAGGCGTGCGGAAAAAACATCACGATAACAATACTGCAGGACACACCGTAAGTGACCATATTAACGAGCAGAGTAGTTTCGATTTAAATTAACGCAACCCGTAAATTACACAGGGGATGTAGCGAGGGCATATGCGGTCATACACTTTACGCATAGACAGTTAGGTGCACTCACTCCTGAGCTCTTTCTAATGTTGTACAAAACATACGTCAGGCCACACCTTGAGGTGCATAATATTATTGCACCCCCAATGCTGAGAAGAGATGCCAACCTCTTGGAAAGAGTCCAACGACGGGCAACAAAAGGAGTGGTTGGTCTCCGAAACAAACCATATGATGACAGGCTGAAGAAATTAGGCCTGTTCACACTTAGTTACCGTCGGCTTAGGGGGGATTTGATTACTGCCTACAAAATAACAAATGACCAGAATCACCCAAACAAAGGTGTTCTGCCATTGAGTAGGTATAGGCTTCCACGTGGAAATCCCAGAAGGATAGCTCACCAGAGGGCAAGGACCCGGGTGCGCTCCCACTTCTTTTCACTGCAGGTTTGTCGTCCCTGGAATTCCTTACCGGCAGATGTAGCTATGGCACCGTCTTTGGACGCCTTTAAGCGAAGGCTGGACAACCATGCAGCGATACAAGGACTGCATCCAAATGGCCTATCTCCTTAAAATCGCATTTACCAATCAGGGTAGATAATTAAACTCGTCATTTTACTTCTTTACATTCTCTCCCGTCTTACTCTCCTGACAACTTATTAATATTACAATTACTATTATTATTATTACTATTACCGATATATATATTATTCTTCAAACTTCATGAGCTGACTGTTGTTACGTTTCCTATTTTCGTTTCTGTCTCAGTCTGAATAGCTTCACTAATTATATCTATTATTATTATTATTACTATTATTATTATTATTACTATCTCTTTTCTCTTGTCGACAATACCGAAGGACTAACTGGCGAAAGGATCAACTCCAATCACAGTAGTAACAGTCTTAACATACCTCGTACTACAAACCACATATAATTAATCCCAGCACTACTCCCTTTGGAGTCAACCAAAGCTACGACAGTCGAGTGGCGGGACAAGCTACGCAGGAGTTTACCGAAGATCAAGAACCTATACCTCACAATCAAGAGGCGAGCACAAAGAAATCAAATTGGTTTATACTAGCTCGTAAAAACGATATTGGATATTGGAACCCGTGAAAACGAATTTTCTATATCACTCATAGGAATGTTTACTGAACATTATTAAACACCTAGAGAAGAAATACCCTGACATGGTTACGGACTACTAACTTGTGTCTGAACACACCTAGATCTAGCGAGAAAAAAAATATTATATGTGAACAATAAATCTGATTAATAGGTGCAAGCAGACAAAATTGAAACCGATACAACTGATATCAAGAGTTGGTTCGCATAAATAAGATGTACTTTTGCGAGTATGACTGCGGATATATACCAGTTAAAGAGCTATTGAAAAACAATACTTCTTGGTTTATGATGGTTCTCTAACTGATATCAATCCATGGTCCAACTCGTATAAACAACTGTCAATATATGGATATAAATCAAGAGCTTACGTCTCAAGTGTCTCTGCCAATGAGAAACGTGTACATGTGACAGTAATACTTTCCACGAGGCTGACGAACGACAATCTAACTATAAGCCATACTGTTAAGAAGTCAGAGGAAAATGCATCAAGGGAAATTATCCCAGATTAAATTTTATTTAATATTTCATCCCGTGCATCAGTCATTCTTGAGTCCTGAAATACAAGATGCTCACTAAATTTTAGTAAAGATATGACATCAACTTACGTATTTCTCTTCTGTCAGCCCATCCTTGAAAAACACGAAATATGGAGTCATTCCGTCTTCACGGTAGTTCATTAACACCACCATGCCGTCGGGATTCATTGATTCACCAGTAAAATATTCGTAATCGTCTAGATTTTTGAGGACGTTCGCCAAGTATCCCTTTACGTTATTTTCAAATATTGAGGCTCGTTCAGGATTTTCACGCGATAAACGCTCCTTTATGTTCTTTAAATAACCCTTAAACAGTGTTAACATAACAAGAGGACCATTTACTTTGAGATATGTTCTGAAGCTTTGTTTGTCAAATTGCGTGCTTACAAGGCGACTTCCATGCACCAGGTCAATAACCCGTTCAGCCGTATCGCTGACTTCCTCAGCGCCTTCGCCCTCTCCAGATGGATTAGCACCGATTAATCTGCTATCAACCGAGTTTGTAATCGTCGTGAACTTGGCGTTGACTTCATAAATGACGTCATCTATCAACCTAGGCATGTGTGAATCTGAGAACATTTCATCACCTGAAAACAAGCTCAGTAATAGCCTAAAACCATACCAGTGATTGCATCCTTGAATACACGCATCGTCCGGGCGAGAAAGGCGCGCAATTGTGTCCATGATAGGTATAAACAACTTGAGATTAAGGTCGACTTCGACATTCAATGTTTCAGAACGTTCCAATTGTGGTTATTTGCTTTGTTCTCCACGACTGTAGTATCGAAACTTAACCTTTCACTGCCAATTTGAGGAACAATATACAGGGTAAACATTTTAGCAATGGATTCAGCATGATTAAATTTTGTGGTACGGGCCGACATGTGGACGCGTGAAACACGATTGTACTTAAATTCTGTTCTTCATATACATGGTGACGCTTTAGAATTTTCATCGATGTGAGAATATTTTTTCTGAATCATCTAACTCTGCTGTGAGATATTTGATTTATTCCACAGGTAGAAATTATGATATTACTTTTGCGGAGAGCATAGTCTCATGTGTGCTTTGTCTCACTACTAACAATCTTATGAAATAATGGTTACGTAATAATCTGCATTCCAGATACATTACGCTGAAGACAGATTTTATTACATTTGTCTTCCACTTTCTGCGGACCACCTATCAATGGGTCATTGGATGATTGCTGAGTCGAAAGCCACCAGTGAATTTTTTGAATGACCAAAATTTTCAACTCTAACTCACTTTTGCCATCATAATTTTTCATTCCTTGGATTCCAGACAGATCAGATAAGTTCGGCTGAAAATCTCAATATCGCGCTCGTCACCTCTTCATTTCGAGATGGCCTTACAAATACACTCTTCGTGTGGTCTCTTTATCAGCCTGAGCCGCTCGTCGTTGGACATCCCATTAAGGTTTTACACTTGGGCCTAGTTTGAGATGTTTATTAATTTTCTCCCCAGCTGGCGTCAACCCCATCGCCACCTTATTGTGCACATCTGCTGAGTGATAAGTCTGCACTTGTTCGGCATCGACATTCCTAGGAGTTAATCTGACATTGAGTACTGAGAAAAAGCAACGCGTTTAAAACGCTTTCCATCTTCAAATAAGTGCCAGATTAATGAATATGTCTTCTTTTCTATATCTATTCCTGGACTACTCATCCAAGGCATGCCTTCTGAATACGTTTTACGCTTAACTATTAATCCACAAAATGTTTATTCTGTGAATTGTTCTCTTGGGAAACCTAGTATTCCTCGTCGATGGATCTAATCCAACCATTACCTCCACACCTAATATATATATATATATATATATATATACATATCCACACCGAACACACTGAAAGTTCTGGTTAAAGTCGGAAACACTCTTCGTACACTTCATTGGTCTCTCTGTTCTTGTCATATTGAGCGGAAACTGTTGCTTTTTATTTATTCTCTTTTGATAATAATTAATGGAAACTAAATTGAATTTTTGATTTTTCGTTCGATAGGACGAAATGCGCATCCTGGATTCCACTGCTAGCCACCATCCGCCAATTGTATACTGATTACTGGAAACTGATAAAATCACGGTGAAATTCATCTTTAAGAGAAGCGTTGTTGACCCTATATATCAGGGCCTCATCTAAGGGAAAAAGTAATCTGGCGAAATTAATGCCAGTTTGAGTACCGGTTGCTGGTATCCAAGTAAATATTTCGTGCTCTGATAATGTACCTACATCTCTACAGTCCATCATTAAAACTGTACAAGTAGGAGCAAGTGGACATGTTACCACACTTGTCTCTAAAGGAAGCTAATACTTCAGGCATAAGAAGGCCTAGAAGTAATGCTCAAGGCATCATAAAAGTTTTCTTCGAAAAAAGATAACCACCATGTCTGAATTTCTTGCCTACGAAAGTGACTCGGCATTTGAATTCAACTTTTGCTATGGGTTGGTGTGTAATGGTGTTATACAGAAGATGTGTTCCAACGGAATATTATTGTCACAGTAAGAATCATTGTATTTGTTAGTGTTAATGTCAAGCTGTAATCAAAAATAAAAAATAATGTCAGAATACTATTCCCATGGTTCAGTACTGCATTGGCAACAGGATAATATGTGTTGTCAATGTAGTTGAAGATTAAACGATCAATTCATGGTTGTTTGCTCAAACTTAACTTCCCCATAATTTTCGCGGCTCATCAAGCTGCCAGTCATCGCCCCATCGGTCGCCGTTCAGAAAGGACCCAGAAAAAAACTGTCAGAAGTAATATCGTGATTTCTTGTTGTAATATTTGTTCTTAGACCTTAGTTTATTATGCTGGTTATATGTTGGTGTTAGAATAAATAATTCTTGAGTCGCCAATCTGTGTTCTAGTTTTTGCGTCCGTTAGTACTAAGCGTTTCTGAAAGGCTTCAAGGGACAGCGAGAGGCCCGGCTCAGCAAGAGCTGGACATTAAAGGTTTTTGAGACTTGATTGACATGTGTATTTGAACATTCTACTTCATGTGAATAAAATAAGCAAAAATCGCAGTTAGTGATTTGCTAAAGTATATAAACTGTATACAAATAAAGAGACGTTTGATCAGTCCAAAACATACCTTGACTTCCGTGTCTTGCACTCACCTATTGCAGGTGCACTTTCACTGAAATGAACAAGTGCTGAAACCATATTATGTGTTAATGAGAAGTAACCCGTGTTCACAGTTCAAGTACTATGTCTACTTTGTCGTCCTAACACAGTCTCATGCTGTATCCCCGCTGGAAATTAGCCGAGAACCGACTAGAAGTGTCAACCTACAGAAATTGAAGACACCTAAAGTCGCGCCCAGTAAATACCTGACTATCATAAAACCCAGTAACACGCTGGCAGGGGCAGGAAGGGACTTCGAAATTGCCAAAGGACGACTAGCATTCTCCAGCAGGAACCATTCCAAATGTGTCAAGGACCTTCCAAAGGATGAAAATCATTCAAATAATAAACATAAATGTCAGATCAGTTGTTGAAACTGCGTCATAGTCTTTAACGCATTAGTGTGCAGCATCAGTTCGCATGAACAAAGGGCACAGTTCGATCAGGAACAATTGCCTTTATTAGGGTTGACGCTGAGCTCTGATGAAGACTTTGAAAACAAATTGGTACTGACATAAGTACCAGCTATATTCAGTAGCTCCAAAATAAGAATAAGACTTGAAAGGTCAACGAAAGGTGGGAAAATGGTGAGGTGGCTGTTGCAACTGATGCCCTCCATCTCCAGAGATAATGAGAAAAAGGGCGGGATAACCATAAACTCTGACAAGCTGCTAGACATGTATGAGCAACAAACCCACCACTTACCGTAGTTTCAGATTCTTTATGGTATAATTTTACCGTGGGCCGCACTGAACACTTATTTGATGCATATACCGATCGCCCTCTTGTGAAGCAGAACCCAGTCAAATACTGCTCAGCACCATCACAGCGATAGAGGAATCGGGATTCCTCTGAATAACCATAGCTGGAGACTTCATGGTTCCATCCCTTTAGCATTAGTTGGGGTATGAACAACGAAAATTCGGTCGAAGTCCGCTACACACCACTAGAAACGCAAGCCAAGTGAGAACGTTATGGACGACTCTAAAAAGGGCATTAGTGGAAGTCTCACAGTGTTATACAGTAATATTTACTGATGACGTTTCGAGAACAATTTATTGCCACTCACAATCATATCAAGTCACTCATACAACTTTCTAACTTCATTTATATAATTCCATTATTTTTCATCGCTTGACTTGATCGGTAGTAGTATTCTCCATATTTCCGGTATGAGTGATGAGTCACTCTTATTGCGTGTGTTGGGTGTCGCCTGGATGAACAAACATTCAGCAATCAACCTCTCGCTTTGAGTGAGTTTGTAGGTTTAAATGCCACCACTCTAATTTCTGCTTTATTCAGAATCCTACATGGGGTCTCAGATGTTCCTGCCTTATATGGTATAACAGTAAATGACTTATATTTTCCCTTATTTATGTTATCAATACTAGTTTCACAATTGTTTTTATTTGGCTTTTGGTCTTTTCTGATCTCCTTAATGAATTCGATAGGATAGTTATTTGATACCAACGCCTCTTCCCTCTGCCTTATTTCATCATTTAGGTCTTTTCTTGTACTACTTAGTGCTTCTGCTCGGTTTGTTTGACACTTAACTAAGCCTGTCTTCACAGACAACGAACGGATGAGATGAATTAAAGAGGTCTAAATATCTATTAGAATGAGTTGGTTTTCTATAAACGCCAGTGTGCAGTTTACCTTCTTCTATTCGTTTTATTCTACAATCTAACATAGGTAATTTTCCTTATTGATTTTCCGATTCAAATGTGAATTTTATTCCCTCCACTAGTGAGTTTAAATGTGCATTGAAACCTACAAATTCACTCAGAGACAAGCTATGTAGGTAAAAGGGCCTGTCGGTTGACAAAATAATATAATTTACGAAATACCCTGCAATGACTGTGAGTCAGGTCAACTACATAGATCAAACAAACTAGTAGGTCAGGGGTAGTCAGATTGTCGGAACATAAGAATTTAGCTAAGGTAAGAATGGTTTAGAAAAAAGCTCAGCGATTGCACTGCATGCATTAACACACAACCACACAATAGGGTGGTAGAGTACTAAAATCTTAAGAAGTAATATAGGTACATAAAGATAGAATGACTACTGAGTCCTCCTTCATTGAGTCTACACCCAACACACGCAATAAGAGTGACTCATCACTCATACCGGAAATACGGAGAATACTACTACCAATCAAGTCAAGCGATGAAAAATAATGGAATTATATAAATGAAGTTAGAAAGTTGTATGAGTGACTTGATATGATTGTGAGTGGCAATAAATTGTTCTCGAAACGTCATCAGTAAATATTAATGTATACCACTGTGAGACCTAATCGAAACAATATTTACCCATAATCGAAATACACTCTAACACAGTGCACAAGCTATTTTTTCTATCAAGTGCAACTGCAGAAATATGTAAATAATTCTGTCTGGAGCAGAATGGCACACATACCGTAAAACAGTAGAGAAAAATTGGTAAACGATGAGAGGGGTCATTTCATGCAGTGACCTCAGCTAGAGCCCGTAAAGTCGCTCTACGAC